GCTGCGCTTATTGTTGATCATTGATGTTGACCAACATGGCGGTCGTTAACTTTGCCAGCCCGAGATGACGTCACGTGCAACCCATGTTTAGGGGACGGTAATGCCGCGTGTTCTGACCACAACTTCAACTGTCCTGAATAGCTTGTTGACTTCTTCTGTATAGTAGTACTGCCTAATTTTGTATGTTGAGCTTAAATTTGTTTTTAAGATACTTTTTGTGTGGGCCAACAATTCGAGCTTCTTTGAGCAGCCTTCAGAAATCGCAGTGAAGTGAATGTATATTGTAAGCATGACCACCCATAAATCATTGTGCGGGCATTGTGACGATTATGCAATCCTTCTGAATTTATTTTCATTGTTTTGTAATTAAGTTATTCGATTAATGGATACCTGATTTCACGGCAATGAACTTCTCTAAATCTGCAGGAAGGCTACGCATGCCAATTTCTTGTAGCGAAGACTGGATGAAGCATTCGCCACAATGGGAGCGATCACAATCTTTTGTTATGAGGCGCTAGCATTGAGGGACGCTGCTAGTGCATGCATGCCCTTATTCAGGGCTCCTGTGGTGAAGCAGTTGATATGACTGGCTTTGAAAAATGTCAATATAACTTAGGTTTTATGGTTTGTACCGTACTCCTCGAGGCTAAACATAATTCGAAATTTTTATTACTGGTCATTCCACTCGTATGTAGAGTGTCAACATTTTTGGCAAAACTTGAAGAAAAATGGCGAGTTTTGGCGAAATTTCGCTCATCGTTTGGCGAATTTCACTCGATAGTCGGTGGCAACCCTGGGCAGACAGGCCAGCGCTTCCTTTACTTCGAGATGCCTGGCACTTAGCCCGTGCTTCTGCTGTTTGCCCTATAAAGTTTCATACAATAATACTATGGGACACCTACATACTATCATTAAGAGAAGGGAAACTGTACTCTTGACAGTGCAACGAAAGCAGTACCTCCTCTATTTTTCAGTGCCTGCTAGGCTGTGGAGAGAACAATGGAGGTGCGCTGTCGGTTGAGTTGCGTGCCGTTGCCGCTTAGTTTTGGGGGGTGCCACTCGCATATGGGTCACTAGCGGATGAATGCACGTGGTTATAGGGTTCGAATATCTGCTTTTCATCTTGGCTCGATGGAGCAGCATCTAAAACGTACAGGGCTGCAGAGTTCTGAGAACGCATGTTTAAAACATGACGCTTTTATATGAAAGCTAACCATGGACAAAACTTGCACGATTCTCGAACTGAAAGCACATGGACTTTCGTTGTGAGCTTACCGCGTTCATTACATTCTTTGATATGAAATGGCTGCGAACCTCGGTGCAATGCACTCGTCACGTGCAAATTTTCAATGCACGAGTACCAACCATGACACCTCGAATCGAAGAAAAAAAAAAAATGTGCGCAGTAAACAGGAGCGCAGGGTGCAATATGCTCCATGACAACACGGGCAATATAGCCACCTACATAGACAGCTGCAGCGTTGGAAAACTTGGTATACTGGACAGCTTTAAGTGCTTCAGCACATTGACAGGTTGCTACAGGAAGCTCAGCTGAGCCCTCACACCTCTGTGTACTTGCAGGCAAAACTCCTACATTCGGTCCAGTTTCTTCAGTGCTGACTACATTGCTGTCTTGTGATGCAGATGCAATGCCAGTCTTTAGCACTTTTTTCGGTCCAGAGATAACACCTTGGACAACCAGCTGGTCATTACAATCTACTGATAGTCTCAGTGTCCTAAATAGTGATTCAATGGGATCACTACTGAATTTCCTCGTTGGCACAAAATGGAACTTCTAGGCTGAGAGCAGGTAGCAAATGCAGGACACAATGGAGTATGTTGTGAGTAGCATTGCTTCGTAGGCCTCTGTTGTAAAAAAAATCCATGAAGAGATAACGTATCTTTTTTCAGTTCCTCTATGTACCTAGGAAATGAAACCTCAAGCCACTCTAGACAATCGTCATTTGGGTCGTTGTAATGCCTTTTGGAGGATAGCCTTGCAGGACAGTTGCACGCTGTTACTGGTGTCATGCAATAGAAACCACCTATACATGTTTCCCATGAACACTATCGTTGATCCTGCAAAAGCAACAGAAGGTTTAAAAATGGTGGCCAGCTTGCTTCTTTAGAACTTCCAGTGCCGATGTAATGTCAGAGGCAAACACTGCCCTTAGGTCGTTCAACTTTTCGATATTATTGGGGTACACGTTTCCTGCTTAAATGCCGCACTGGCTTGGCAAGCCAGGATTTCTGCATTTTGTAGAGCTTTTTGAGGTATGTAGCAGATGCCTCACCAGCCTTTCCAAGGTCTCATGAGAAAAATTGGGACCGGATATTTTTGATTATGTGGCAGTAACCATAAAAGAGTCTGTCTGGGTCGCATGGATGTTGAATTCGATAGGTCCCGCCACAGAGCTCTTTCATAACATTTATATTGACTTTATGATTGTCTTCGACTATTCGTGCTATTGTGAACCCAGTTTCTTCAACTTTTCCCAATGCATACACAAGCAACTTCGACAACTGGGAGCCATTGAGACCTTTTGTAAAAAATTATGAAACTGGAATTCTGTAAGATGTGCACAGCCCATTGATGATAATGAAGCACAGCATGAAGTTTGCCAGTACTACGTCACTGCTAGATTCGTTCACTATGCCCATATCAACTTGGCCGACAAAGCAGTCCTTTTGCTTGTTGTATCGAAGTTCTCGACTGAGGTGCATCAAGCTTTTCCACTTCAGCTTTAAGCCTGGCTTGCACTAATGTGTTGAAGCCTGTCTCCCCGTAACTGGTTCTTATGTAGTTCTGCAGGGTACTTCTGCTTGGTAGTTTGAGCAGTAGCTCCTTCCTCGCATGCTCATATGCATTTTTTTGAGAGATGGCGCTGTATAATGCAATGTCGCACAACATCTTCAGTCCATGCTGGGTTCTTGCGTCGAAAGTTTACAATTTCGTCCCATAGGAACACTGCTGAAATATGATTATCTTTTGCCTGTTCACGAATGTACTCCAGGTCACCAAAATGGTGGCCATTTTATTTTTTCAAGTTCGTTTATGTAGCTATTAACTGTATGTCGCAGCCGTTCAATCAGCTTTTTTGTCTTTTTTTTGTGCTTCCACTTGGCCCTTTCTGTCGCAAGAAGGCTAGACACACCAACATCTACCTGGGTCGCTTTAGGGAGCCACCTGCGTCACTGAAAGCTGGAGCTTCACCGTCAATTTCCGTCACGGCTTGTTGCTCCTTTCCTGCAGAATTGGTTTCATCTAATGTTAGCCATGGACTGACGGCCTGATGGTTGTTCGCTGCTGTTTCTTTTGCACCAATGTTTTTCCGGCATTTTCTGCGTTTTCTTACGGGCTCATTTTCTTTACCTGTGCAGACACAAGAGATCTCTTCCACATGCTCTCAGTAGCCCTCTCCTTCAATATCTGTGGCCTCATGTATGAGGGCACGATACCTTTCTTGGGGTGGCGTTGTTTGCCTTCGGCGAAGTCGGAGTCGGCTGCGTACTCTCAAATAGTTCAAGGTGGTATTCGGCACCCATTCATCCCTTTTTATTGCTTTTAGCCACTGTTCCCCAAGTGCCTCTTCCACCGGAATCTCATGGAAGTAGATGGCACGATTCCCGCGCTTTCTGTCCGAGTGACAACGTGGCACGCAACAGTATGCCATGGAGTCCTGTAAAACAACAGTCAGCGCCTGAGCAATATACTTCAGTACGGCAATCACGTCGAAAATTGCTTGCACGCAACATCATGACTCGCCACAGTCAAAAGAAAAACATTGTTAGCTCACCGCTCAAAAGAGAACGGATGATCCTACATGCGCTGATCCCCGCCGTATTCATGTATGCAATGCCATGATGGAGCCCTGTAAGACAACAGTCAGCGGCTCAGCTGTACGGCAATCGCTTTACAAATAACTTTCGCACTGAAACGTCGGAGGCTACAGAGAGCTCTTTCCCTTCAAAATAAGGCAAGTGTTGACTCACCGCTGTAGCGCTGACCACCTGCAGGAAACGTGTGGTCCTGCTTGTGTTAACCATTACCAGATTCCCGCACGCAGTACCATCGCAGAGATGTACTTCGTTACAGGTTTACAAGTGTACGTCGATGGCAAGAAACACAGCAAAAATGAATATGCAAAGCGCACAGGCGCACATGTAAACAAGTGACTGACCGAAGAATATACATGGGTTGCACGCGACGTCATTTCCGGCTGGCAAAGTGAGCAGCTGCCACGTTTGTGAACATCGAGTCGGGATAGTCAGGCCAGAGAACACGTGAGTTCAGCCAGGCTGTGCGTGCAGCTTACCGCCAGGTGGGAGCTTGTCTGCGTCATTCGTTCAATATGGCGAAAGGAAACGTGCACGCACTTTGCCTGTCGTACTTCGAAGAGCTTGTGGGACCGTCTAGGGTACATTACCGAGAACTTGAAATGAATGTGTGATGGCATCGACCCGTGCGAACAGAGCAGCGGTGAGGCCGCTACAGCGAACATCGATCTGCTGCCTTTTGTGACACACGGAGACATCGTGAATTAGTGGTGCTTTCGACAAGTAATGTCATGCTGCAACAAATGAAGGCCTACAAGTCACTGGACGGCCATAACTACTTCACCAGTGAATAAGTGAAGAACATAGCAGCAAAGCAGCTTCCATCACAGCGTTTCGTCGTTTTAAGCAAGGATAGTTACGACACTTTTTCACATTAGGGTCAAAGTAAAACTTTGTCTTGCTCTGGACACCTGGGCTTCGACAGGATTTTGTAGTGAGGGGCGCAGATCTGTGTTGCACCATGGTGGGGTAAATTTTGGTTTTGTTTAGAAGCCGCTAATGCTCCTTTCATACACTCCTGCCTATGCTCATGTTTAGACGTCACAGCAGTTGTGCTCGTGTTGCTAGTGTAGCATGCTTGGTTTATTTTCCTCTTGTGAGCTACGATTTCGTGGGATCTACTGCTGATGCTTCATCACACTCTGGTTCTGCGTCTATGGCAGGCAGTTCGAGCAATGTTCCCGCCTCTGTAGACGGCGTGCCCTCTGTGACTTCATCCAGCGTGTTCGTCTGTCCCATCTTGGAACGGTTAAAACGTGCTGGTGCTGCAGCAGTAGACAGGTAATAACCCAGCAGTAGGCTGGCTGCCCAGTTGGGGTTCACGTCATCCATTAATTTTGCGGGTTGTCCTGTAAAAGAAGATGCATTCACATATGTTGCACCGTTAACCTCTTTCAACAACATAAGACGCGGTTATTCAAGAGGAAAAGGTGTGAATCTAGGCGGCAATCTGGAAAAAGCCATGCGATCGTGTAAGTAAACGTGCCAAACCTGGACATAATTAGAAAATACCTCTACCTGTGATTAAGTGATGACTGCGTTCACGGGCGTATTTCTCTTTCTTCAGGTTTCCTAGGTTAATGCGTGGCAGTCACGTGATTCAGAGCTCTTCGAACAACATCGTTGTTCACATGCACTGATTTGTTGCATCACTTGAACACTATACTGTAGCGACCTACGACACACATAACACGTTCAGTAGTACTGGAGCGGGGATTATGTGTATTTTCTTTCAGCTGTTTTGTCACGGCACTCATCTGCATTTGAAGAACGTATTATGCGTGCACACATCATAAACGAAAATACTTAATTTCTTAATTTAGTTTCATATGTAATATCGAGTGTGAACATGCTGTATAAGAGAATAAGCTGCAGATCGCAAAGATAATACCAGGAACATGTATGATGCGTTGTAATGCAGATTTGGTAGCCGTCCGGCCTGTTGTGACCGCGTTGCAACCTGTCACCTGTGAACAGTAAATTGCAGCCAGGTGCCCTGTTGGTGCGCATTCAATTGCAGCAGGGACTATTTAATTTCATGTAATTCCTTGTAAGCATCTTTTTGTAAAATCCCTGGGCTGTGCTAGCGCTAAGCACCATGAACCTTCATAATGTCTCAAGTTAAGAATGAGTCGTTTGAAACCGTCTTCATTTCGTTTGGTAAAGCTTGAAGCAACCCACACACCTCACGGAAACGTTTTATACTGACGCTTTTATCCAAACCTTACGCATGAGCGACATCTCTTTCTCTTTATATCTTTCTCTTTCTCTATCTTTATATATCATCTCTTTCTCTCTTTATATATATATATATATATATATATATATATATATATATATATATAATCGCCTTTGTAATTTTATAAGTCTAGGTACTTGTCTAATTTCTATATAAACCGGCTCAAATATTACACTTGCACATTTGTAAACATTCCACATTTTGGTTCAGGCAGCTATTCAACTTGTGCAACAGGAATAGAGATATTTGTAACTTTCATGGTAACTAAATATTGGTAAAGCATTTTCTAAAATAAGTCTTCTATCCTGAAGCTTGGGAAATATAACTTTACCTGGTATTCCTTTTCTTTAGAATATCAGTTTAAAACTCAAGCTTCACGCTCTTTAGAATATCAGTTTAAAACTCAAGTTTCACGCTCGGTGAGCCTTGATACCTCAGAAGCGAAAATGAGCCAATAGTATTGCGCTCATATTGCCGTTCTTACTCTTTCTTACGTCTTCCCGATGCTGTTTGCATGCGACTGCATGTTTAATTTACCTTTTTTTATTACTCTTGACTCTTGCATGCTTGATTAGCCGTTCGAATGGTTTCTTTTCATTCCTTTCTTATGCCAGTTCATTTTTAGCGCATTTTCATGCACGCACCGATGTTCCCAAGGTCCATCACAACAGATACGCCATGCTTATGTCGCTGGGCACATGAGTTTTTGCATTCTGTTGCTGCCCCAGGTACTACCACAATGCTTACACGTGAGTAAGGTTCTTCCCACGCCACATTATTAAGGCTAAACTGGCTTCAAGTGCCCTGTGTGGAAACACAATGTGAAAAACTGCAGCGTGTTGCAGATGTCTCTCGCTTTCCGTGCACTTTCGAGTGCTGAATGCCCACGTGTCCGGGGCAGCAGCGGCGCGGCACGGCAGTTTACGGCAAAAGGCCCACGTGAGAGCCGGTGCTTTGGGCACTCCGCCTATTCTAGGTCGCTCTAGTGCAGTCCTCTGCGTACAAGAACTGCTGTGCTCTTTGACTTTCCCCGGTGCGCTGTTTTGAATCCGGCTTTTTTTTTGTGTCTGCCCGTCATTCACGTCTAGCACATGCTGTCAAAACTGATGAGGGATGATAGGCCAAGGTACTGAATATAGCTCAATAGGGCCTTGTGAGAGATAAAAAATAATTTATTTTCTTGCGGTTAAACTGTTAAAATGGTTACTATAGGTATGAAAACTATGAGAAAAAAAAAATACCTGATTGGTACAGTGAGGCTTTACAGGCTCATTCATTATTACACATGCTACCTGGAGTTAGATGTGCTTTAAATTACTTTTCTACTGTGAACATCAGCAGCAGCACATGGCCTATACAGCTGGTAATGCGGTAAAGAGAACTTGGCTTCATATATTCTAACAATCGTAATTATTGGGAGCTGAAATACCCTGCCAAATGTGTATCGAGCCACAAGGCCGTAAGTATAGGGGGAGGAGAGAGCAACTTCACGCTTGTCGCGAGCTGTTCTTCACACCCACCGCCCCAAATTCTCTGTGCCAAAGGTTTAACATTGGTGAAGCTGAGTATGGCATGTCTCTTCACAAATTCACAATGTAAATTTGACTTTTTCGACAGTATAAGGTCTCAAAAATATTTAAATCTTGAGGACGACACATGCACGGGGTATATGACCGTGTACAAATAGCAACTGTTTTAAGGGGGCATTTTACGCATACAGTTCATGGCCGGAGCAGGGACGTGTGATTTAACTGCGTACCTGTGCATATATATATAACTCATCCCCTGATGAAGGGAGGACCCCTCCCGAAACTGTTAGGAAATAAATATATTTATCTTTGTTGACAACGCTACCGTTGTGCCAGATCCCATACCTTCACGAAGACTAACTGGCCCATTAAATTATTAAAACTTCGAGAATAGTGCAGTATATGAAACAAAACAATAAGGTATTTACTTAATCCTAACAGTTTTAGCTGGTGGACCAGCCTTCTTCGGAGGATCTAAGCTAAATGATACAAGTTCCCGTAGCAGAGGGCCACCTTCGCAGTTTCAAGACCCCCAAAACGAAAAAAAGAAAAAAAAAGAGAGAAAAAAAGCGAGACAAACCGGCGAGGCAGCAACAGACAACAAGAAGAAGGAGAGAAAGAAGAAAGGAGCGACGGAAAGCCGCCGGGAGCGGGCGGGTAATCCTTGCATTGTTACTAGGGATAGATAAGACGGAAGTCGGAAGTAGGGTGTCGAGTTGTAACGTCGGACCACAGCCATGGAGCAAATAAAAGGGTGAATAATCTGTGGTGTCGTGGTGCGAAGAATTGTACGCGAAGGTCACGTGAGGTAGCGCCAGGTCCCGGTCATGGTGGTCGGAGGACACGTACATTGCGAGCATGTCTGTGAGGGTGCGATTTAGGCGTTCGGTAAGGCTGTTTGTTTGGGGATGGCAGGAAGGGGTAAACGTGCTGCGTTGAGGAAGAGGGCGGAAGATCGTCAATTACTTAGGACAAAAATGCGCGGCCGCGGTTCGTGAGTAATTGGCGAGGAGCGCCATGGTGTAGGATCACATCGTAGAGCAAAAAGTCCACAACATCAGTAGCGGTGCTAGAGGGCAGCGCTAGAGTGATGGCATACCTAGTCGCGTAGTCTATAGCAACAACGGTGACCCACTTGGTGCCCGATTTCAACCCAGCAAAAGGACTCTGAAGATATATACCAACATGGAAAAAGTTCAGTTGGGATGGGGATGGGTTGAAGAAGTCTAGCCGGCGGCGCAGTAGGTCGCTGCCTACGTTGGCATTTATCGCAGGAGGACACGTGACGGCAAACGGACCTGGCGAGACCACACCAAAAGAAGCAGCGACGGACACGGTCGTACGTCCGAGATACATCCAGATGGCCAGCAGTTGGTTCATCGTGAAGCTCGTGCAGCACGGTTGAACACAAATGTTTCGGCACGACAAGGAGCTTAGGGCCATCTGGCTGGAGGCTAAGACGGTACAGCGTGCAATTCAAGAGGACGTACATGCGAAGTGATGCGTTTTTCAGAGCAGATTCGAGATGGTCAATAAGTTGTCGCAGGGAAGCATCACGACATTGTTCATCACCAATCTGAAGAAACTGGGACATTGACATGACGCTGAGGCTAGGCTCGATGTCTGATTCATCGGGCTGATCAACAGGGTAGCGGGAGAAGCAATTGGTGTCCAGATGGAGACCTCCAGATTTGTAAGCAACCGAGTAGGAATACTCCAGTAGGCGTAACGCCCAACTGCCAAGTCGTCCAGTGAGGTTCTTCAGAGAAGGATGCCAACACAGCGCGTGATGATCTGTGATGACACGGAAAGGGCGGCCGTACAAGTAAGGACGGAATTTCGAAACCACCCAGACAAGAGCGAGACATTCCCGTTCTGTTATAGAGTAATTATGTTCAGACTTTGAAAGCAGGCGTCTTGCATTTGCAATTACATGGTCGTTTTCCGCTGAATTTGCACCAAAACTGCGCCGATTCCACCACTCGCGTCTGTGCGCACTTCTGTAGGAGCAGCGGGGTCGAAATGTGCGAGAATAGGAGGTGTTGTTAGAGCGGTGATTAGCTGAGAGAAGGCGTCGGCTTGAAGAGGGCCCCAACAAAATGGGACGTCTTGTTTGAGAAGGTCGGTGAGTGGCCGCGCGAGTGCAGCAAAGTTTTCACGAACCGGCGAAAGTTGGAGTAGAGGCCCACAAAACTGCGATCATGGACAGAGCTGGGACTGGGAAGTTTGCTACAGCGCGTACTTTCGTCGGGTCTGGTCGTACGCCAGCAGCATCAACAAGGTGACCCAACATGGTAATTTGAAGAAGACTGAAGTGGCACTTGGAGAAGTTGAGTGGCAGGCCGGCCTGTCGGAATATGGATAGATTGGTCGAAAGGCGTTCAAGGGGGTTGCGAAAGCTAATTGCACTGCTAGTTCATTTTTGCTAAAGCTTTTGCCATCGTACACCCAGTATTGCGGTTGCAGATGTCTCGTGCAAACAGGAAAAAAAGACAAAAAAAAAAAAATCAGATTCATAGCAATGAAACTCTGCTGCACGAACAGGATAGATACATGAAGCCATGAATGAAAACAGAAGGATCGAGCGCTGGCTTTAAATGCTTAATCCTAAATGTGGCATATATGTGCGTGCACACATAGTGCAGTTTTCTCACTGATTATTGAAGCCTAAATAAATGACGAATGCATCCTTTAATTGTACTGCCGCAAGGCATGTGCACTCGCTGACGGGGCACAAGATAGTGTCAGAATATAGGGGATCCCGTGCCGACGCGCCAGGCATCTCAAAGTAGAGGAGGCGAACCCTGGATGCTGACTGACTAGTGAGGTCCTAGCTTACTGCACTCCCTTCCAGTGACACACCACAGATATAACAAAATACGGGACAACGTGCCAGACTGTCGCTGCCAGCACAATATTTGAAAACGGGAACATGCCGGCACTTTCTTCCATAGTTCACTTTTAGAGCTCACTCATGATTATACCCCACCCTTGGGGCTCGCATTCATGAATGTTTTCATCATGCAGACTGGCTCGGTCTTAGACTCGCTCAAATTTTTCTCAGTTGAACTCGATATTCATCTGGTGTATGAACATTTCTGTGTTGATGTGTAAGTAGACATAATTAGTATAAATGCAAGTCGACATGAGGCTGATAGTAATGTTGAAGCTGAGTAATTGGACAGCCAACGAATGTAGAGCTCACTCATGATATACACCTCGTCCATGGGGCTCACTCGAACTTGCTCATGGCTCGATCTAAGCGAGTTTATCCACCTATACCCTCACCTGATTGGCTTAAGGACTGCTGGCACTATGTCGGGGAATAGTAAAATGCCAACTGCCAGCACAATATACATGGCCAACAAAATATTCACACGTGGATGTTCACTAAACATGCGACAAAAGACTTAGAATATAAAAGGACCAAAGTAAGAGATAAAAGAAAAAAAAAAGATTTGTCTTTGTAACAAGAAATGGCTTCAAAAAGGTATAATAAAAAAAAAGGAAGCTCTTCTATATGGAAATTGTTCTGAAATAAAAATCACGGGGGTGATAAAGATGTTCTTTCCACCTTTGTGAGAGGATTTAAGGCACTGTACCGTGAATGTTTACCAATTAGCAAAACTAGGGTTCTTTGAAGCTATAGCAATTAACTTTCTCAAAATTTAATGAGGAAATCTTAGGGTAGGCTCAATGCTTTGTGTCCAGGCAGTGAGCATGACCTCGCAAGAAGCCAGTCATCAAGTGTACTCTCATGTGCAAGACCGCTTCAGCGCCAAGAATGCCCTCTCTGTGTTGGCTTGTCAGAATGGAACACCAACTAAGGTCCACTTGTGTTAATATAAATAGCTCTGATTGTTCCACTTTTATTTTTCACAAAATTTCAACTTTTTCATTTTGGAATTTGTGCCTGAGATACGTGCTAGTATTTTATCCTGAAGTATGCATTATTGCTCCAGTTGCAAGACCTTTGTTGTTCCGGATTACCGAGTTACTTCATGAACTGAAAAACGATGAAAAAGATTTGTTTTACTCCGGAACGAACTAATAGGCAACATTTTGTCTACGTTCCAGTAAAAAAAGACATTTTTGATGAAACAAAACTGCGAAATTATATTTTGGCAATCTCTCATGATCTATTTTACATATGTAGCTCACCTCGCTTGTTGTTCTAATGTTGTAAGTTTCGTACACTCTACAGCATTATACGCAGATATCTTTCAGGCCCCTGTGGAGCTATTTCGGTTGCGATGCTTGGTAACCTGCGTGGACTGATGTTCAGTTCACTAGTTCTTCAGCGAGCCTTTCAGTAAGGTTTTACACATAAGCTGGAATGATAAGGTTCTTTAGGGTAAAGTAGTAGTTTAAGTACTTTAGCAAACTGGCCAGTAATTGGGTGTGTTAATTGCAGGTGTGCATTATGGCAGTGACGATCAAGGCTTACCTGGAAGGCGGGGAGATCCGCCGATTTGTCATCGAGGATCTGCGGGACTATCGCACTCTTCATGATAGAGTCAAGGCAGCTTTTCCCATCCTGGCTGGCAATATGAAGTTCACTATTTCTTGGAAGGGTGCGTACATTGACAAGTGCCCTTGGGGTGGTGCTCTGTGGACATTAGTCATGTTCATGTCTAATAAGTGGGCAAATGTATTATTTTGTGATTTGCATGGAATCTACTGTATCTGGGAAGTTATGTATCTAAGCTGTCTTAGTACTTTACAGAGTAGTATGTTCTTTGTATTAAAAGAAACTGAGAACTGATCTTTCTCACTCCAGTTTTTTACAGCACAATGAAGATCTCCCCGTAGTAATGGTTGAACCTACAGCGGTTTATTTCAAAAGTGCGTGGATATTTTGCAAGCAGAAGTTTTTTCGATCTAAGAAGCCCCTGAAAAAAACTTTCTACTCCAGCTATGCTGGGAGACTGTAGCAATACCAGTACCATACCTGCCAACTGTTCTGCTTTTCCTGTAAAATGTACGAATTTCGACTGCGCTTATGATTTTACAAATCTTGCCTGAAATTTTACGAAAAATATTGCATTTCTGATTTAAAAAATAAAATATGTAAAATAATGTGGCCTCTGCAATTGGGTACGGCGCATTGGCGTAGCTAGTGACACAGGCCACAAGAACGGCATTGTGCTATGTTCCGCCACCAGGAGAGAACAATATGTATTGGTGTTATCATCATTACATACCTGCCAAGTCTCCCGCATTGTCCCCGGGACTCCTGGATTTCCACCTTTTCTCCTGTTTGTGCGGTTGCCATGAAAATTTATCGGAAGTTTCTCAGAAATTTGTGTGCGAGATCCGGCCGCATTGACATACAATGCAGGTCAGTCCATTTCAGGCTTTTTGCGATTCCAACTCATTTTATTATAAATGAATTTGAGAGGCGTTCATCTAAACATACAGTAGAGTCTCAGTGATGCGAAACAGTGGCAGATAAGAATTCATGAAATTCTCCAGATTGATTGATTGATATGTGGGGTTTAACGTCCCAAAACCACTATATGATTATGAGAGACACCGTAGTGGAGGGCTCCGGAAATTTAGACCACCTGCGGTTGTTTAACGTGCACCCAAATCTGAGCACACGGGCCTACAACATTTCCGCCTCCATCGGAAATGCAGCCGCCGCAGCCGGGATTCGAACCCGCGCCCTGCGGGTCAGCAGCCGAGTACCTTAGCCACTAGACCACCGCGGCGGGGCTGAAATTCTCCAGATAAATTTATATGTTCATTGGGCCAAAATTCAAATGTTCCGAACACTTTTTCTGAACGTGGCGTGTGATATGAACTTCAGTACTGAAACCATCAAACGAAGGCCGATCGAGAGCTGCGTGCTCGAAGCTTTGGAAGTACATTTGTGACCAGCGCACGCACTGTCCTCTTCAGTACGTGTGGTTGTCGTCGCCACAACCGCTGTAGACGAAACCGCAATCGTTCGACACAATCATGTATGGCAATGACGCTACTGACAGAACTGTGAAAGCGTGCGCGCAGGCAACGCTCGACCAGTCAAAGCAACGCTGCTTTTCACAAATTCTGTGGACAAAACCCCGGCAGCTGTGTGGATTGAAAACAAAACTACTGTTTGCCGCAACCGCTACGCACAAAACCGCGATCATGGCGATGCAATAGCGATCTACGAGTTACGAGGGTACGTGGCTGACGCAGTGGTAGATTAAAGGCAGTAAATACGTAAAAAAGGCTAGAAGCGTTTAGGCGTTCCTGTACGAGGAATCAAGTAGTGAGCAAAGCCAAAGCTTTGACATCCGCTTCCGCGGCAGCCAGCTGCGCTGCCCCTTTTGTTCACCCGTGAAGACATACGCGAGTTGTTTTGAGGGAAATAAATTTTTTGTTAGTTGTTTTGATGATGCGAAATTTTCGGAGCATTCACGCTCCCCCTTTGACACTCTAACCTTGGTGGGAAACCCTACCCCGTGTGTTCAGCCACTTCAAGCCATTATGAAACTGCAACGCCGATGCTTAGGCTCGCGTTTGGAACCCCTCCTTCCTCTTGTTTTTCGCGTTTTTTTTCTTGGTGCTTAAAAATAGGTTAAAATAATTTAGTGCAAAACATAATTATTCTTGTTGGTAAAGGCAAATCCATCACAGCTAAAAAAAAAGAAAGTTGGTAACCTCCCCCGCCCCCCTTCATCGTTCGGGGGTTTGACGAATTTCTTTGTTGCATCATGAACTGATAGTTATGTTCAATGCTGCACTTTTAGAGGAATAAGTGCCACTATGTTTAACCGCCTTCATTTTGAAATTTTCAGCCACTTTTGAATATCAGATGCAGCTATAATAAGTTTACCAAACATTTGTGGCTGAGCGAAGTTCATTTACCGTCCCATAAGCCAGGCACTCATGTATGTGAAGGGGGCCCACGGCCTATGTACGGCTGGTGCAGAAGCCTAACTCCAGCCGCACACAGTCGTACTGTACACGGTTAATGTCCTCTTTCCGTAGCTCGAGTCGTCGCAGCTACATGGGTTCGGGCGAATAAGGCAACAGGCTAGGTCAACAAAACAACTTTAGTGCTTCGTTAGCAATAATGCGTAAACGTCGCATAAAGGGACTGTCCACTCTAGGATGATAACAAAGAGTGGACGCCTTTGGTCGTTGACATTCTTGGCTTGCAGGGGGCATCCCGGGGTTGTCTTCCGTCGGGTGGCTGGTGCAAGAGAGCTTATCGCCGTCATCACGCTCGTTTTGACCAACCTCCCGATTCACCTCCCTCCAACAAGGGTTGCTTTCTTCACTGAGGGAGGTTAACCCGTTTCGCGAGCCGGGAAAGGGGAATAGGGTGCGCCAACTGTGGGCTGACCGTCTCACGAGCCGGGAAAGGGGAATAGCGTGCACCAACTGCGGCCTGACCGGTCCCTTCGAAAGGGACTTCATTGTCTCGTTTTCAAAGCAACAGACATGTCCTCTCAACTGGGCTGCTGCGCTGCTGTAAAAGGGAAAGTAACCCTGGGCACACGTGCTTCGCGACATTCTTGCACAGGAGCACTATAAATCCCGGTATAACAGCCGACGCCGTCAGGTCACCTACAATACTGGTGACCTAGTGTGCCACCTCCGTATGTTGGCCGGCGCAAGAGAGTGCGTCTTGCCGTTGGCGCGCTCCTTTTCTCCAACCTCCCGGTTTTACTCTCCCCAACGAGGGTTGGTTCTCTCGCTGAGGCAGGATAGCCCTTTTTGCAAGCCGGGAAATGGGAAAAGCGTGTGCCAGCCACCGGGTGACCGGTTCTTTTGAAAGAGGCGTCATTGTCTCGTTTCTCGACGGGACAGACATATCCTCGCAAGTAGGCTGCCCTAAAAGGGAAGAAAACCATGGGCGCGTGTGCTTTCCCACACAACTTATCGGCATGTGCCGCTAGTCCCTCAGCTGCCACTCATTACGTCAAACAAATATAGTGCCTGTGCTCTACGCAATAAATTAAGACATATCTGCACATTTTCAGTTAGATAAAATTACAATAAAGGTGGTGTGTAGCATCTAAAAAAAAAACACTAACGCAGAATCAATTAACTACACACACCAGCTAAAGTCCAAGTGATAGTGATTATATATGCGTCTTTGCTTTTTTTTCTTCGCATGAGGTCCAAACTATCATTTTTGTGAGCTTTGTTACAAAATAAAAACACAGTTTTACATTTGCCTGCAATGAGAAAAACAGGGTTTTCTCTAGCTAGTGCAATGAACAATCAATCAACTTGTGGGATTATCTCTTTTTTTTTTAAAGACATACTTTCTTGGTGCGCATGGAACGTTTTAGAAAGAAGACAGATAGGACAGAGCGCACATATACAACCCATCTGTCTTCTTTCTGAAATGTTTCCTGCACACAAAGAAAGTATACTTCTTTCAAAAATGCAATCCCAACCAGCCCAAGTAGCCACGTTTTGTTTGTTCTCTGAGCGTTTGTCTCTCTTCTTAAAGGGCTCCCGCCTCCTATATTTTTTTTTCAGGCATTTTAAGTGTTTAGCATGCCGAGTTGCAATCAACGATTCTGCATATGGCAGCGCTATAAGCCGCCAATGTGCCACAAATTCTAAGAAACAATCCCTCCTTAAGTACGGGCCTTTCGGGCTTCTGCATAACGTCAAAGTTGAATCTCTGACACGCGGCACAAATATGCAGTCATTGGTCGAGCAAGAGCCTTTCGCTTCTGCTTAGTCTGCAAGTAGTTGTCCGTGCTGCTTTTTGTTCGTTGTGTGGCCCACATGCATGCACGCGCTTGTGAATCGGCAACTGTGGCTCGTACCATGGGCTGGCACAGCAGCAGCAGCGGGACGCCAACAAGCATGCAGTTGAAGTTGACAGAGGGACGTAGTCACGGCAACCAGTTGTAGACGGTGTTTCGAGCAGCGCATCAGCAATGAAGTGTGCCACCCGAGATTAGGAGCCGTGCTCGGCGAGAGGGCAAAGCGGCTCTGGGAAAGGATAGCACTGAAAGGTAGCAAAGAACAGACTGAAGGGAATGATTGCTAAATTTTGATAATCAAATGTGTCTAACTCTGCTATTATGGTGCCGTTTCAAAAAATTGGGATCTTTGGTCGTTGTACACTTGTGCACAACTTCCCCACCAGAACTGAATTTCGACTTCTGGGTGGTTTAGGGGCCCTTAAGGCTGTGAACTTATGCATTCATTTTGACGTCTTGCTTTGGAACAGCAGTCACTAAATCTTACACTCTGTTAAACACTAAAGGCTTGATTAAAATCAACTAGAGGTACACTAAAGGCAAATAACTATTTACGTCAGAGTGAAAGTATAATGTTTGGTATTGTCTAAAACACCATTAGTTGTGTTCTAGTAACAGCGCGACAACTTCAGGAAGAGACAAAAAAGACAGGAAAGAGCGCCGCCTGTCAACTGAATTCCTGTCTTTTTTTGTCTCTTCCTGAAGTTGTCACACTGTTACTTGAACACAGCCATGATGAACCAACTCGCTCGAATTAAGCTCTTGTTGCTTCAATATTAGTGTTTGTAGAAGTGTGCCTATCGAAACCGTGATAAACCCTCCTTTTGCTCTCTCCTGCGTTACCCTCTATGGTATCCTCTCCCAAATCCGCTTTGTCCCTCTCAACGAGGACCCTGTCATGCCCCTTCTATTCTCGCATGGCATATGTCATCGCTTGACTTCAAACGACCCGACTTCAATTAATCACTAGTAATGCAACCAGCTGCAGTAAAAAAGAATGTTCCGTTCATTACTACACGCAGTATAAAGCTGTTTATCTCTTTCTGTATGCTTCATAAAAAAAGTAACCGCGTGGCGTTACTATGGAGAATGGCACAAGTAGTTTGAAATTTCCGTTTTCGTCTGGTTAGGCTGGATAACTGGTGCCATCTAGCGGGGCCCACTTGAACCAAGAAAGGAGAAAATTTTTCAATGGCTATTGCTGCTGTGGTGGATCCCGCTACTTTTTATCTTCTGCTGCTAATGTTGGCAGCTGCACAGGAAAGGCAGGCAGCATTGGGGAGTGCAACTGTGGTGTGAAAAGGTCTGTTTTAGGTACTTCAAAGCTTAGAAGTGTACTTCTAAGCTTTGAAAGAATTGGTGTGTACTTTAACCAGTCAGATTCGGTGAATCTTGTCAGATCTCACAGAAACCACTGATCGTGAAGTCCAATTGGGAATCGCCGTCGTGGCTGCTGCTACCGCCCTCACGAAGCGCACATTCCTCGGTTTCGTCGAGTGCGTTCGAACGCCCGATTTTTTTTTAACCTCTTTCGGCAGTGCTGGAAGATACTAGGTCTCACGACACGGCGATACAGGAAAAACTAAGCATCCGCACACAATTGAAAAGGCCTCTTTCAATGTCGGGAAACTTGGGGGCTGCATTCCAGGGACCCTAGTTCGGGGGAAGTCCTCCGAAGAAGGGTCTTGGCACTCGCAGCCTGTTTGACTGCGCTCGTCTACTCGGCGAGGCACTTCCCGGCCGAAGCATTGAAATGTGTCGAAAATTGCGCGCAGTCTTCTGCTTCTGTATGTCCCCTTTGAGTGCTTTGCAGCGACATGTTTTAATGTAGCACATCGCAAGGCAACCGTCAAAACACGTTGACTGGATAGCGAAACCTAAAGTTCCGAAATCGAGCGAGCGTGCGTTGCAGCGCGGACGCATATAACGAGGGGAACAGTTGGTGTGACAGGCCCTCACACGCCTCCAATACAGAAAGTCGTTCTTGCTGTGAGGCGAACATGCATCCTCGCTATTATCGCGGTGTTAGAGATTAGGAGGAGGCAAACGCTCCAGCAGTTCCGGCGGCCCGTCATTGTGTTCGAGTGTGGTATTCCAGGGATCCTAGTTCGGTAGCAGTCCTCGGAAGAAAGACTTGACACTATCAGCCTGTTTGACTGCGCTCGTCTGCCTGGCGAGGCGTGCAGGTACCCGGCTACAGAACACCTATTAGCTGAAGCATCGAAATGTCCAAAGGTGCGCTTGCCGGCAAGCTGGCTCGGGCGAGTTGTGGAGCGCGAAATATGCAAGTGAATATTTTTTTTGAAAAAGCTGGCAAAATATTGGGGGTGCGCAAATTGTGCTAGGGCACAAATTATGCACGTAAATACACTAATTGTAGGTGCATGCTTGTGTGGCATATACAGATTCCTTCTTGTGTTGAAAGGCGCTGCATCTATGTATTCCAGATCCAGAGGGAGACGAGATCGTCATGTCCAGTGATGCAGAACTGGCACAGGCTTTGCTGAACATGAAAGACGGGTTGCTGAGGATTTATGTGACCGTTGATAACCCCTGGGAACGAGGTGGAGCTGCTCCATGCACGTCGACAGAGGCAGTTCACGCTGGAGTTGTCTGTGACACTTGTGACCAGGAGATTCGGGGAGTGCGTTACAAGTGCCTGCAGTGTGAAAACTATGACCTCTGTGGGCCATGCCACGGAAGGAAGGTGCACGAGGAGCACGACTTGCTGAAGCTTGTCAACCCTGGCATTGTGAGTTTGTTGTCTCCCTTGAGCAAGTCTTGCATCTTTTCTGTGAAGCATGACACCACGAAGGGGTGGCCCTTTGAGGTGTCCATGCAAAATTGGCCTATCAGTACATCTATGATTTGAAGCATGAAGCTATTTGCTAGCATGATACCATCTGATGGAAATTTGCTCATGTAATTCTAATATGCTCTAAATGGGGTCATATAAAGGAGTCTGCCTATCCAAATGTAGCATGAAGCTACAAAGAAGAACTAGTGCAAGTTGAGGGCAGACCTTGTTCACATTATTGAGCACTGTAAGTATGGTGCACTAAACAAATGTAATACTGCTTCTTGCTATAGCTCTGTCATATATGATAATAATTATTTATTTATTTTCACATACTGCAGTTCGTTGAAGGGCTATCGCAGGAGTGGGTACAGAACAGTAAATAGTATAAGAAAGTAACTTGAAGTAGGTGAGATAATTCGCATTGGACCTGCGGATGCTGTGTTTTTTCAAACCCCATCACTGCTGCCGTGATTGACCATTTTTATTAAGAAATGTTTCTGTAGACGGTTCTGTAGAGCGTATTTTCTAATTGCAATCGCTCTGCCATCTCTCCCTTAGAAAAGTGCAGGTGTGCTAATTTATGCCGTGCTCAGTTGGAGACATGTTATAGTCAGCATGCGGGCAGTAGCCGATTAAAGCAGGATTTGGTGTAGCCTTCTCACACGTCCTTCTTTGCTCACGCTACCATCTATTGCGGCGAATGCTTAGCTTTTTTTTGTTTCTGAGAGTTTGTGTTCTGCTCCTGTGTTCATGCCAGCATCTTGTGTACTACAACAAATTGCCCCTCTTTTTTTTGTGACCACTTGTAGAGCGAAATTCTGCCTACATATGTCTGAGACGTGTTTTCTAATAGGTTGTGTCCTGTGGTAAATAGCACAATTTCAGTCACTGGGATGGGTGATTCCTTGTAGACGCAGACATTATTGTGCGAAGAATTGAAAGTGAGCTTCATAAATCACTTGCTATGTCAGAAAACACATTGATTGCAATTTATGAATTGAAATCGGTCATTACTGAACACACAGACACATACAACTAATTTTGGAACTAGTGCTGGTGTTGAGACATGTACCATCACACCTCTCATTGAATGCGTGGTTGTTATTATGGTAGCATTAACAAGCCTGTCTCCAACTGTGGCCATTTTGAGTTGGCAAGTGCAGTGCACGCTCACAATCGTGTCGAGAGTTACATCACTATGTGCAGCCAAACGAGCTCAAATTCAAACTTAACATCATTTGCCCTCGCGCTCCTAAATGGGGTGATGACGTTTTTGCCAAGCGCATGTACATTGCTGAAAGTGCTGTGACATGCAGCAAAGAAACGCTCGGTTTCTCGTCGTCCGCAGAGAGTTGCAGGTAGGGAGAAAAGTCCAGAGAAAAAAATCCTCTCCACAAAGTGAATCATGACAAGGGTGCAAAGCTCTGGAGAGTTAAATCACCTGCCCACTCATGCTTGTACCGTATTTACTCTATTCTATCGCGCCCTCAATTGTAACGCGCACCCGGTTTCCACGACGAAAAAAAAAAAAAAGTAAGACATCGATTGCAACGCGCACCCATTTTTCTCGTTGGCCCGCACGATCACACCACTCGGGAAACGACTCCTTTCGGAAGCTTCTTTCGTTTAAATATGAGATACGGGGGGAAGCTTGTGCCTATCTGACGTGCAACGGAGCATTGCCGTCACTCTAGTTTTACCGTGGCCCAATGTCAGCACGCGAACTTGCTTCGCCCCATTCTTCTCGACGGTGGTGGTGCCAGGCATGTCGAAGTAAAGAAGCGTCTGATCGGCATTCCCGATTTGCCCAAGCAGGTAGCCGTTGTTGTGCCGCAAGTTTAGGACGAACCTCTGAAACGTGTGAAGCTTTTCTTCGTACTCCTCCAGCAACTTTTAGAATATGCCCGTTCGCCTTCGGAGGGAAAAACCTTTCCTCTTCATAAAGTTAGTTAGCCAGCACCTGCTCGCTTTAAACTGGCTCCGCATTAGCCCTTTTTCTAAGGTTAACTGCATAGCCTGCACTTGGAGCAGTTCTGTCGTCACGGGCCGCTGTGCCGCTCACTGCTGAATCACATACTCGCCGAGCAGCTCTTCAATTTGCGGAAACCGACCCTGCTGTGGTCCACTGAAGCCTTTGCGTGAATCTTTGCTGTCGGCAATATTCTGCTTTTGTTTCCGCCAGTCCCGCACGCACGTTTCGGGAACTCCGAACGACTGCGATGTGGCTTGATTTCCGTCCGTTTCGGCACACGCGATGACTTTTCTTTTAATCGGCATCGTGGTGCACTCATCGAGTTTTTGGAGTCCGCCCTTCCATGCCGTCGATGCTCATGCACTACAAGATGACGAACTCCTCAGCACACGTACGAAGTGTAGCACATGGGAAACACATAGGCAGAAATTGCTGACGCGCCATGCCGACGCACGTAGAGGGCGGCCATTTTGGAAATGCTGATGGCAATACGATGACCGTATTCATTTTTTTTTCGTACTCGATTCTAACGCGCATGCGATTTATGAACTCGCTTATCCAGAAAAAAGGTGTCCGTTAGATTCGAGTAATTACGGTAAATGATTGCAAACACGTGTGTACAGTATATACAGTAAAACCTCATTAATTTGAACTCGGTTGTTTCGAAATCTCACTCAATTCGAAGGATTTTTGCGGTCTTGCATCTGGCAATGCAAGTTTGAGTGGATAATTTGAAGCGGCGGCCGGCACCAGCCCGGTTAATTGGAAAACTTTGGGTGCCGTATGCCAGTTCCAAATTCCGATTTCGTGGCAAATCCGCTGAAACGATGGCCCTTAATAGCCACAAAGCAATCCAATGTAGCGATACTCATCAGTGGCAGCTGAAGCATCCCAGCCTTTCAAGTTCCAGCGAAAAAAAGAAACTAAACAACAACAAAAAAACAGTCTCGTGGTCAATCGAAACGTAGGCCTGCAGAAAACGAGATGGGCTTCTCTGCAACATAGCCATGGCGAGCGGGCAGCATATTGCATGTTTCCCGCATAGTCAGCGGGTCATGGTTTACCCTTTCTTTCTAGAATTGCAAAGAAATTCTCAAACTACGGTTTAACAGAACTCACGATGTATGCCAACCTCAGATTACTGCAGATTACTGGTTGCTACAACAATTCGTGCCTTTGCACTCCTGGCAAAGTTCTTGCCAGCAACACCTACTTTAAAAACTAAGTTTAAAAGATCACTTTTTCCAGCCAAAATACATAGGGAGTTTCGTCATACTAGCCATTATTAAATTCCTAGTTATACCAAAAGAATGTGCGAATGGTCACACCATGACGTAACGGGGAGCAGTCAACATGCTTTCCGTGTGTCATTACTGTGTTGCAGTGAAGATGTCTTGTTTTCCTGCAGGTGCACATATCAGGTAATGACGGACGACAGCATTTTTTTTTTGTGGCAGCAGCGAGGCTCCTCGTGCCTTCATATTTGCGGCAAAATTAAGACGAGGTATGGCTGGAAAACCTATTCCTTGGTGCCGCAAACTAGCCGGCACAGCAAACAACAAGCACTGACTACTTTGAATAGTTCCAAGTTGCTTGCATTCCACTTTTTGCATGTTCTGTTAATTCAAAAACTCGTTTAATTCGAATATTTCTCACGGCCCCAGCGACTTCTTTTTATTGGTCATGTTGGGTTCTCCTTTGTGGTCCTTCAAGTGTAGAGCCAATGGTTCTTCGATGGGATCTAGCCTGAAGTTAACAAAGACACCTTCTATTCACGTTTTCATATTTAAGTATTACAGCAAAAGCTGTGTATGGCTAGAAGAAATGAAAAAACGTTCGGCAGCTGTTACCGAGTGGTCTTCATTGGCTGTGTTATCGGTTAGGTTGTTCGCAGCGTGTTACCCAAGCACACGCACCATTGGCTGCATTGTGAGTGACGTCATCTGTCTCGTCTCAGCTGTGGCACTGAGCACGCGTGCCTCGGTTTCTCCTAAAACCTTCCTCATGGGTATGCTGTGGACAACACTAGAAGAGCGCCAATAGTGTAAATGTGAGAGAGTTCGCATTTGCCGGGCCGATGGTGCAGTCCGGGCTGAAAAACTGGCCCTGGGGGCCAAGTTCCGGCAGCGACTGTGTAGTCATGAAATCACGAATGGGAATGCAAGTACTGGAGGCAGGCAGATCCTGCAAACAAGTTAATTCGCGATATCAAACGCTTGAGACAACGTGACGTCAATGTGATCATTGCAGGAGCGCATTTACTGGAGCGAATGCCTGCTTTCGGCAGGAGTTTCTTCAGTGGCACATTGGCTTTGGCTGCAACGTTTGTAGCCGCTTGTGGTTCGTGAACACATTGCAAAACGCATTTAACAGCTCATTACACTCCTCCGTGATCATGCGAGGCATAATAGGCAGCATGTGAAATAAACACTGGTAAACCCAAGCTAAACGTGTGTCTAACCTCACACACATGTAGCCAATGATTGTGAAAGCCTTTAACAGTGGGTTCAAGCTGACACTGCACTAAACAAGGGGACCGCACGTTTCAGCTTTCACTGGTTAAACATTTGTAGAGGGGGGAGTCTTCTAGGTACTTCAACCACGCATGAATGCTTCGTTTCCCGACTAAACTGGGCTTCAACGAGGGCTGCGTTGTCGGGTAGATTTTTAGGAAGGCGTTGCACTATTTTTTGAATGAGGTCATTGACCACTTGGCCTTTGATTCTGTGCTATAAGACACGATGCTCATGAACAGTAGCATGAAGCGATTTAATTGCTGCTTCTCTAACTCTCGTCCCTAGGGTGGCTTGCTGTCTGTGTAGACATTGAGCCGCTGTATGTCACGCACTTGCCTCCGGAGTAGCAGCTTGTTGGCAGCGTTGCTGCTTTGCCGCTGCTTCCCGAACTCTTGCCTCCCGGCTAGCTTTTCTGAATCAGCATTGCCTTTCACAGGCGAGAGTGCATTCACGTTCATTATCCTCTATGGCACAAAAGAGTATGTGTGGCCCAGAACACGATAATTCTTCATTGTCAACAGTCATAGCACAAAGTGCACATAATGCCTTACAGACTGGTAGCAGGTACCTCACTTATCGGCAAGTTTTATGCAATTTTGCAGAAATTGCATATTTTTCGGTTTTTTAGAGTATCTAAATGAACCAGCTACTCTGAAAAAATGATTACGGCATGAGTGTGCTCAAAATCACAGTTGCTGTGATTGAAGCAATCGTTTCTCACATAAGCAATTAATATTCTTGAGTAACAATCCTTAACTAATTCTACGAAATGACATGATGATGGAATGATGAGTGCGCAGCATCTAGGATGCTTTTGTTCTCCTATTTATTTCCACTTACAGTTTGAAGTGCCCAACAGGTGGTCTGAGAAATTCGGCACCAACAGTTTTACATCCAGTCCCAACCACTTATCCAAAAGTATTTTTTTTTTTGCAATGACAGTACCAAAATCAATTTTGTGAACTAGAAGCACACCATCGTCAAATGTTCTGAAACCGCATACATCCCAAGATATTTATAATTGGATTCAAATCAAGGGAACACGGAACTAGCCATAAAGTAGCCATGACGTTTTTTCTGCTGCCCCCAGCCAAGAGAAGTAATCGGACTGGTGCAAAGTAGCCGAACCTGGCAACCTATGAAGCTTACCTCCTCACATCATGGTTGTGCACTAGCATTTCAAGATAATTTTTCTCTCTGCTTGTAATGAACCACTTCATAAAAACCTTGCGGTAGAACCCTTTCTATTGGGTATGCAACAATTTAAGTGTATAAAGAACATTTGCTAAATGTCGCCTGGTGAGGGGAGTGGCACATGTGCATAACATAGTGTTACAGATGTGCACTTGTCTTTTCAGCGTCCCTTGTGGTCATTTCCTGGCTGGAAGCGCTTGTGGCGCCACTGTGGTTATCCTCGAAGAGGAGGCTGCCCAGCCCCAGGAGGTTCCCATCGTTTTGCACACCGGCCAGACCAAAGACAGCACCCCCAGGATTTCCTGCGTGGAATTGGAGACACTGTGGCCAATCTTCTTGAGCCATTTGGTGAACTTCTTTGTAAACATTTAACAACGGTAACGCAAAGAAGGCACATAGCACCAACTCTCAACAGTCTCAATGGGGGGGGGAGGCACGACACTGAGAAAAGTTAGGGAGGTGGGGTTGAGCGCCTCCAACTCTTGATATTGGTCACTCTTGCTGCACGTTGGGTAAACCAACAAGTAAAGTGAAGTTTTTCGTCAGAACAGTGGCAACACTCAAGTACGGGAGAATGAAAATGTTACGAGGCAATGCCACAACATAGTGAAATTTCACCAACATTTTCTCTGTTGAATTTCTTTGTAGGCTTTTTGTGGTGCGGGTCGCCGATGCGATGCCTTTGCGTCTTGTGCTGTAGTATTGCAGAGCAGGCAGCCGATCAACAGGGGCCTTAGAATATTGCATCACTTGTTCATGCTTTTATTCTGTTCAAGCTTTTATTCTGCTGTGACTTATTTCTGAAGTTACGAATGGGAACGAGCAAACTTTTTAAAGACCGGTCAAAGCATTTGCTGCTTCCGGAAAATGATTTTCTTCAAAAAGGATATATCATCCCCGCTGCTCTGTCGAAACAGTTGCGAGCCAATAAGTGTGACGAATCATTTTGGATGTGGAAATCGGGCTAAGGGTGCCATTCCTCAGTCTGTTAAAGTGTGATTGAACTTCGTGGTATCCAAGAAAGCGAGTCCTGTCACCTCTGTGTATGGAAATTCATATCAAAGTGCAAGCGTGTCCATGTCAGGCTTTGCTCCGTTGCCTTTGTTTTCACGACCTGCACGCTTGTTCCATGGCTGTTTTCTAGCGTTCATGGTTGAATGTTCCCCCGCAGGGGCGCCTGCGCAAATAGGCGGCTGGTATGTAGCGACACCACAGACCCGAGCTAACGGGGGAGTTTTGACTCCCTCCCACGCCTAGCCGCGCGTGGCTTTGCCGTGTCCGGGGAAAAGGGGATCCTGGGGGTTGAGCAGACGCTGGGTGATTGGACCTTTAAGGCCCCCCGGCAGAGGCAACACACCCCTTTGGCCCCGGCTTCACGTAGGCGGCACCCCTGGCCTGACCCACCCTGGGGAAATCGGCAGTCGCCTTTTCCTTTCTCTCTCTCCCTATATCTTCGTCTTTATCTCTCACTTTTTATCTGTACTGTTCTCTAGTCTCTTCCGTTTACTTCAAAACTTCCTGGCGGCTAGGGTTAACCCTGTGCAAATAGCCTACCTTGGCCTAGGCGCATTGGGTTATAGTGGCGTTGTACGGCTGGCGTCTGCAGGTTTCAGCATCCGCAAACTTGTAGCGTCCCCTCGTTGGGCTCCGTGGTGGGTGGCCGCCAACGCTGCTGAACAAAAATAAGACGGGCATGCATGGAGCATTCCCCCTACTGTCTGATCCTACCGGCTTAAAGCGGCTACGCACCGATAATATAAATTTTTTCAACCAGTCAAAAGAAACATTTCCCAACTTCCATGTCATTCACTGCGAGAAAACTGGAAAGCAAGCCAGGACCGTATCTCCATTCCTAGTTGCCAGGTGTCTTACTGAAACTCTCGGGGCTGGATACAAGTAACCAAAATGGCTAGCGGAGACCTTCCTCTCGAAATTCGGGACAAAGAACAATTTGTAAAGCTTGACAGCCTCTCAACATTTGGTGACGTACCGATAACCGTAACACCACACAGATCTATGAACATAACTCGCGGAGTGGTATCTGACGCAGACTTACTTGACCTGACCGAAACTGAACTTTTGGAGGGGTGGAATAGCCAAAATGTAACTAATGTACAGAGAATTATCATCAGAAGAGATAATAAGGAAACACCGACAAAACACTTAATACTCACGTTTGCATCCAGTAAACTACCAGAATCTATTCAAACAGGGTACACGAAGACATCTATCAGGCCGTACATACCGAACCCTCGTCGTTGCTTCCAATGCCAGAGGTATGGCCATGGCTCTAAAACCTGTCGTGGTCACCAGACTTGTGAACAATGTGGAGTCCTAGGCCACGTGTCTGAGAACTGCAAACAACCCCCACACTGTGTAAACTGCGAAGGAAACCATGCCGCATATTCACGCTCCTGCACATGCTGGAAAAAAGAAAAAGAAATAATTACATTAAAGGTGAAGGAGAACATATCATTTAAGGAAGCAGGGCGAAAAGTCGCACCATTCTATGGACCTACATACGGTGATGCGGCGCGTCGGGGGGCACCGCCGCACCAGCCCTCGCCACTCCTTCGGCCCGCGCATAGCGAGCTGGCGGTTGTGGCACCTGCCCCCAAGGCGGCTGTAGTTCAGGCTACACCGCCTACTCCCAGACAGAGACCGGAGACTCCAGAGTCCTCAGGTCTCAAGGCCTCACCTCACCAGGCGAGGTCCAAAATTCGAACTAACAGCCCACACTTGCGGGCATCCAGTGCTTCCGAGGAGGCAATGGATACATCGGTACCTTTGGTGCCGAAAGAGCGGCGTGGCTCCTTGGAGCGCACCAAGAAAACAAAAAAGCAGATAACAGGGCCTGGTGACGGCCCTGTTACGTCAACTCAAACTCCCCGTCTAAACAGCCACTCGCTTTTCGTACACACAGCACTATTTTACATTCACCATGAACACTCAAATTCTACAATGGAACGTTAGGGGCCTTCTCAGAAACCTTGACGACATCCAAGAACTTTTACACGAACCGTCACCAAAAGTGCTGTGTTTACAAGAAACACACCTTAATTCAAAACACACAAATTTTCTTCGTAAATGCGTTATTTTCCGAAAGGACCGTGATGATGCCATGACATCATCCGGAGGTGTTGCCATCATAGTGAATCAAGGAATTGCATGTGCACACTTACAACTCCAAACATCCCTTGAGGCAGTGGCTGTTCGAGGTGTTCTTTTTGATAAACTGATCACAATCTGTACTATTTACATTCCTCCTAGCTATCAGCTGCAGAAATATTATTTACACTCCTTAATTGATGAACTTCCGGAGCCTTATGTTCTCCTTGGAGACTTTAATGCGCATAGCAGGCTATGGGGTGACTCTCGGTGCGACACGCGAGGTTGACTGATTGAACAGTTCCTTCTCTCGTCGAACGCGTGTCTCCTAAATCGAAAGAAACCAACCTATTATAATCTCGCTAATAACGCCTACTCCTCCATAGACCTAAGCATAGTATCTCCATCTCTTGTGCCTCTACTTCAGTGGAAAGTCGTCGGTAATCTGTACGGTAGTGACCACTTCCCTGTAGTTTTGAGCACAACTACAGCAACTGAGTGTCCACCACGTGTTCCCAAATGGCTCATAAACAGAGCCGACTGGGAACAGTTTTATACCATCGCTCGTCTAGGTTGGAGTGACATATGTATTTCAAGCATTGATGTTGCTGTCGACTACTTCACAGCGTTTTTGATTGATGCTGCAACAAAATGCATCCCACAAACAAATGGACACCCTGGAATACGGCGTGTGCCATGGTGGAACTCTGAATGCCGAAACTGGCGCAAACAGCAAAACGGAGCATGGAGGTTGCTTCGGAACTCGCCGACAGCCGAAAATCTTGACACCTTCAAGAAAATAAAGTTTCAAGGCAGGAGAACGCGTCGGCAGGTCAGAAGAGAAAGCTGGCAGAAGTTTTTGTCGGGGATCAATTCATACACACAGGAGGCCAAAGTCTGGAACATGGTCCAAAGGATAGCAGGAAAACAAGTACACACACTTCCACTCATAAACACTCAGGGTGATACCTTGGAAGATCAGGCAAACTTCCTCGGTGCACACTTCGAACGGGTGTCCAGCTCATCCCACTATACTGACACTTTCCAAAAATACAGAACAAGAATAGAAAAGCAGAAACTCGAACACAAATGCACTAAATACGAGGCATATAACCAAGCTTTCAGTCTAGCTGAGCTCCGAACATCTCTAAACTCCTGCAGTACTTCTGCCCCAGGTTCTGACCGTGTAGTGTATGAAATGTTAAAAAACCTACCAACCGAAACACGAAAAACCTTACTTTGTTTGTACAATGCTATCTGGTTTTCTGGCACTATTCCTACCTCCTGGAAAGAGGCTATTATTATTCCCGTTTTGAAAGAGGGCAAGGACCCTTCGTTAGCTTCGAGTTATAGGCCTGTTGCACTTACAAGCTGCTTGTGCAAAGTCTTCGAAAAAATGATAAACTGTCGACTTGTACATTTCCTTGAAACAATTTGCTCGACCCATTTCAGTGCGGGTTTAGAGAGAGTCGATCCACCACTGACCGCCTTGTTCGTATCGAGGCACAGATCAGAAACGCTTTCGTCCATAAACAATATTTTCTCTCTGTGTTCCTCGATATCGAAAAGGCTTATGATACAAGATGGCGCTTTGGAATTCTAAGAGACCTGTCCCACCTTGGTGTGCGCGGAATAATGTTTTACATAATCCAAAGTTACCTGTCAAACCGGACATTCCGTGTCTGAGTGGGCAGCGTTCTTTCCCAAACATTTGTCCAGGAAACAGGCGTGCCGCAAAGTGGTGTACTTAGCTGCACACTTTTTCTCATCAAAATGCATTCCTTGCGCTTGTCCATTCCTCGCAATATGTTTTATTGTACATATGTCGATGACGTCCAGCTTGGCTTTAGATCTCGCAATCTAGCAATGTGTGAGCGGCAGGTTCAGCTGGGTTTAAACAAGGTCTCCAAATGGGCAGATGAAAACGGATTTCGACTTGCCCCACAAAAAAGCACGTGTGTCTTATTCTCTCGAAAGAGAACCTGCACTCGGAACCCGACATTTAACTGAACGGTCAACGTCTGTATGTTAATCGGAGCATAAATTCTTAGGCTTGATCTTGGACAACAAGTTGACCTTCGTACCGCACATCAAGTATTTAAAAATAAAATGTTTAAAAGTCATGAATGTTTTAAAAGTGTTGTCACGTACTACGTGGGGTAGTGACAGGCAATGTCTCATGAATCTGTATAGAAGCCTCATTCGCACCCGCTTAGATTATGGGGCCGTTGTTTATCAGTCTGCGACTCAAAGTGCTATGAAGATGCTGGATCCTGTGCACCATTTGAGCATCTGCCTTTCTACGTGTGCTTTTCGCACCAGCCCTGTAGAAAGCCTTTATGTTGAGTCAAATGAATGGTCGCTTCATCTGCAGAGAACTTACATGTCCTTTGTATATTTTCTTAAGGTGAAAGCAGACAAGAAGCAACCCTCATACTTTACTATTAATGATTTGTTGACCTCCATTCTGTTTCAAAACAGGCCTTCGATGAGGCAGCCCTTCCCAGTTCGCCTGAAGAGTCTAGCTGAGGAAACTGGAGTCTCACTAGAACACAGTTTAATGGCTCCTGTATCATACCCGCCACCGTGGCAATGGCAGACTATAGACTGCGATGTGTCTTTTCTAGAAGTTACAAAACATGCGCCTCTTGCCCATATCCGAACATACTTCCTGGAACTTAACACAAATACACACGTCCTGAGTTCTTTACAGATGCCTCCAAGTCTAACTCCTCTGTATCCTACGCTGCTGTCGGCCCATCCTTTTCGGATACTGGCCCTCTACATCCAGGCACAAGTATTTTCACAGCGGAAGCTTACGCGATACTTGTGGCCGCTAAACACATTAAACAACTACAACTACAGAAAGCAGTAATTTATACGGACTCTCTCAGTGTGGTAAAGGCTCTGCACACTCTTAAAAAACAAAAAAACCCTGTCCTCGTCTCACTTTACTCCATTTTATGCACACTCTACACACTCAAACAACATATTGTAGTGTGCTGGGTGCCAGGGCACGGTGAGATCCAAGGCAACGTGATGGTGGATCAGCTTGCTGCATCCGTCCATGAAAGCACTGCCACTACACCTATGTCAATCCCGGCCCTTGATCTTAAGCCGTCTCTCAAACGAAAGCTCGGGGACTACTGGCAGAGCAAGTGGGATAGACACACACAAAACAAACTACACATTGTTAAGCCACACCTTGGCCATTGGCCGCCAGTATCGAAATCGCGTCATACAGAGGCAATACTAAGGAGGCTCAGGATAGGACACACATACACGACACATTCACATCTTTTGTCCGGTGGCGATCCACCATTGTGTGACAGATGTGGTGAAGCACTAACAGTTCTTCACATTTTAATTCAGTGCAAACAACTAGACACTCTAAGAAAACAACACTTTTCATTACCCTACCGACAACATATACCTTTACACCCTGCAATGTTCGTCGGTAGGGAACCACTGTTCACTCATAAATCGGTGCTAGCTTTCTTAAGAGATGTTTGCTTTTATCATGTCATATACCCAGGCAATATGTAGCGCGACCTCTTAAGAGAGGTTGCTGCTGCAGTGACTACATAAGCACTTGCCTCGCAGCCCTTGGACACAAGGGCGCTGATGAGGCACTTGTGCTAGTGCCAAATATTTTTACACGTTTTTATTATCAAAACATTTGTCACCCTTTTTTACTATGCATATCACGCCACTGTCATGATTTTAATACTTATGGTTTTACCCGCATTATCGCGAGGAATTTTAAGGCCCCTATACAGCCACGCAACATATCATTGTCCACATCTCTACTCACTGAAATGGCGCTCTTTGGCCATCAATTGGCCCTTGCGGCATAAAGCTCCACACATCGTCAACGGTTGAATGTTCAAGACGAGCTTCGGAAGCAGCACGAAAGGAATGCTACGACCTATGATGAAGTCACCGATGATTACCCCGTGCAACGCTGGAACACTGCGCACAGTGTGAGGACGAAGCCTGCACTTGAGCTTAGCTGACAACTGATAAGATCTGTATAGTTGGTCGTGATAAGGAAACGCTGACTAGAGCAAAGACGACATTGAAACGGTGAGCACGAACAAGCATGAAGAATCGGTGCTTAACCCTTTGAGAAGCTTTAAAAAGAAAAGTATAACCTACTTTAGTTCGATTGAACCTCCTGCATGATAAATTTGTCATTTAAACTCGTTTTGCAGTGTATCGATACATATGATCACCTTTATTTTAAGGCACTACCACGTTCGACGAGTCATGTGACGTGCCACTTTCTGCGAGCGATCTGAAAAGCGGAATTTTCTTTTCTCAAAATCTATAGCTAACCAAAAATAAATTTGCACTTTATTTTTAGCATGAGATTTTATTCTATTTACGCTAAAAGTAAGCATCTACGACTTTAGGGCAAAAAAGTATTTATTTACCGCTCAATTAAGGTGAGTTCTATAACACTAATTTTTGTTGCAATAAAAAACTGTGGGCCTTGAAGTTACGTTTTAGTAACTTGACATATTTACAGACAGCTCTACACAGGTGGCGTCTAAAAGAGTTAACGCTGATGCTTTGCAGCGTGTAAGAAGGATGTGCACGTTAAGAGCTCATCTTACAGCAGTAGAGTTGCCCACATCAGGGTAGATCGCGCTTTTTCTCAAATAAATGTGCACTGATTCCGTAATATTTCGTGTTTGTTGTTTTTTTGCCTTTATTTGAGTAGCATAACATGGTCACGAATGTATACACAACACTGGCAGGTGACTCGCATGTTTTCGTTTACGATTTTTGCGTAAATTTTAAATATTTTCTCTACAATGACTTTTCAAAATAACAATTGATTTTTAGCAAGCCCTTGAGATTCGTTGTATCGAGGTTTCACTGTAGCATGGCCCTGTCGAGAAGATGAGTGCCAGCAAAGGTGCTGTTGCTGCTTTCTCAACGAGCTCCTTTGGTAGCGGACGAATAGCTCAATATTTAGGGTATTATTACTGGCCATCTTGTTCCAGGATGGGGAAAGATTTTCATTACATTGATTCCCCCAAACGCCAGGAAGTTCCTATTGGGCAGTTGTGGAAGGAGGAATATATGCAATCATTTTAACTTGAGTCATTTTTAACTTGCAATCATTTTAACTCACTAGCTTGAAGACTTCTAATGAAACCAGCCATTGCTCTGCGACTGACGCCATAATAAAACATTACTGGGATCTTGTGTCTGAACTAAAAATCGAACTCTGGAAATATTGATGTGCCGAAAAGACTTCTTTTTGGGCAAGCTAGTGCTTACATTGCTGAAGTACACTTGACTGTGGTGCAAGCACATTATTTGGAAAAGAGGGGAGCAGGAGAAAGTGAAGCATCCAACTTGTTTAATAACGATCTGAGAAGCTACTGGAAAAAAGGGAGGACATTTCCGGTATGCGTGAACAGGCAAATTATTATGTGTAGCAACATGGTCGACATATTATCGAGAAAGCGCATTTCTGTTGAATGCTATGTTATAGAAGTGTCACTGACGCAATCGGACCATTTCTTTTGATAAAGAAAGCTTCCAACTACTCTCTGGTGGTTTGTTTGCTGCTTTTGCCGAGAATCGGTACTTGCGCAAAGCATGGTTCACATCCGCAACACTGCATTGTGCAACACCCTTCAAGTAACTATCGAATGGCTTCACTACAGAAGGGCAATCATTGCAAAAGTTTTTAGAATTTGTCAAGTACAAGCGAAATTAGAGATTTGTCGCGCACTGGAAGCTAAGCAAGGGGGGATGGTACTGGAGTAGAGAGCTACGTCACGTGCATGTCATGACCATGAGCACTTTTTTCTTTTCTTCAAATGTGCAGCTTACTTTAAGTGCAATTGCAAACAAGCACGCAGTCAGCTGGAGACCTCCTGTGGCGACGTCGGTACTTAAGCAGCTAGCAATGTTTAATCCAGCTTGGGTATATGGCAACGTTTGTTGTAGCTGACTTTGAGAATTAAGTGTAAATTTGAGGCCTCATGCTGCACTATAATGTTTGGCTTGCATCTTGAACAAGTTTCCTTGCAGTGCACGCAAGGAGAAAGTCAAGGCACATATATAGACAGATAGGCTTGCTGTTCTCTGGCTGCTGTTTGGCAGTGCTGAAAGGGTGTTGCCAAGCCCCGATTGCCCTGAAAATAGTGCTGCAACTGCTGCAGGCATCACAGTCGACGTGGCCAGCAGCACTTCTCCAAAGAAGGACAGTGCCACGGAGCCCATGGACACATCGGCGGCGGGCAGAGGTTGCGAAAGCCACTCTGCAGAGCCTCTTGTTCCAGCAGCAGCCAATGGCAGCAGCAGCGTGCAGGGGGGACCATTCACAGAGACCAACAGGGGCGGCGAGGAAGCTGCTTCTGAGCCTGCAGCGGTGGGTGGCTCTTCATTTAGCTGCATTGTGAGCGGCACTTTTGTCTCTCGTGCTTTCCATTGCTTCCATCTTTCCAGCATTTTTCTAGTGCTGCTTTCCATTTTTCCAGCATTGAGGAAAAGTTCTCTGAAAGTAAAAATCGATGCTTCTGGCTGAAGTCAAGTGTTAACATGCTGTTGTGACAGTGAAAAAAGCTGCAGTTAGACTGGGAAATACTGCCCGGGCAGTACAAGCAATTCGTGTTGTGCATTGATGGCAGCGAGAACAGTACAGCAGTCATCCGTCGAGTAATCTGATAATTTATGCACCTTCCAGTGTTATTGCTGCTGCTTTTGTGGACTCTTGAATAGAATTATCGCAATCCATTTCAAAGCTTCCCAAACGGTCTTGAAGCTTTCCAAACATTGCGGGACAGTCTGCTCCAAGCATCACTTACAGTTTTTGTAGGTGAGAACCGAATACATTAAAATAAAGCAATAAATGCATGTGGTAATATGTTGTCAGAGCATAACATTGCTTAATGGGCCTGTCGAAATAATTCAGAAAATTTGTGTTCATTAAAACACTTTTAGGCATTGTGAGAACCCCCCATTGGCAGGTGGCTTTTTTCAGCACTCTGTACGTTTTGCAGAAAATTTTCACCGCATAATTCTTACACACCCTCAACTTTCCTTTGATTTGCCACAAAAATACCGTGAGCATTATGCAATCAAATATGGCATGACTGCTAATATGGCTGTTGAGGAGGGACTCGTTTGGCTGTTTCTTTCGATTGTGTTGGCAATTTGCTATTGAGCGAAAAAGTGGCACTGAGACATCGTACCATTCGCCCAAAGCAACTTGTGTACAGTGCATTAGTACTGTGCCAGGATGATTGCTCTACTGTACACAGGCATTATGCCGTGTGAGTGCAAGGAAGTTTCCTCCATGTGCAGACATATATGGAGGCTGACGGGGTATTGATGGTGTTTGCCTTTTGCCTGTTGTTTTCAAGCGAATGTTGCATTTATGCACAGAACCTGCATTCTGAGAAACATGCTGCCCTCTTTGATGCAGGAGGTTGAGGTGCCCTCTGGCTGGACTCTCTTGAATGTGCTGCGGGACTCCCATCTAGGTGACGATCTCCCTCGTTCCATGAGCCTGGCTGCTCAGGCTGGAGACAAGCCTGGTGAGAGCAAGACTTGGTAAACTTTATAGGCATCTCATGTGTGCAATAGACAGTTTTCAACCACACAAGTGCCACCAATTGGCGGTTCTCCGCTAAACGCCCATCGCCACTCAGCTTGGTCAAGAGCACTCGAGCGTAAGACGGAATGAACGACCAATAAAAAGTGGCTCGGGCGTCCGGGGAAATCGAGGATTGCTCATCGTTTCTCCCAGTCTAGCTCAATGGAGCCTTCAGAGGTTTCACATGCACAGCTTAGAAAGGCCTTGCATGTGGTTTACACCATACAGATTTATTTTTGCTATTTATATGTCCATCACATGAAACACCATTAGTCAAGAGTAACATGCTTGCTGCTTCACCCATAGTGAAGTGTGCTACACATTTTGCACAATCGTGTCTCTTCACTAGAGATGAACAAATTTGGGGTTCGAAGCTAATATTGATTTGGTTGAATGTTCCAAATAGCATATGTAGCACATTATTGCAGCATTTTTAAGAACTTGACTAGGTGCGTGAGGTACTTTTTTGGTTCCAAGTGGAGTGGAGATTTGTATATCAGTAGGGTGCAAGTTATAACTCGTTACTATGCACAAAAGCTCATTTTCTCTGTTTCTTTGCCACCTCAGTGCCGGGTCGTAAGCCTTCCTTTTTTCTCTCTTTAAAATGAAATTTCATTAATACCAGTGAAGGTGATATGCAAGTTTTAAGTGTTTCTTCACAGTAGCGCAGGTTTATCAAAACTGGTTGGTTTCATAGAATAGGAGCCCTTGTCGCTGCAGTGAAAAAATTTTTGCTGGAGGATTATATACCTACATTCATTCCTTTTGAATACTTCGAAATTTCTAATAATCTAAGTTACTCTTAAAGTGCATTCCAAGCGCCCAAATATTTGCACATTTCTACAATAATTTAAGGACTCAGTAAAAAAGTGTGCTTTCGCTAAGCATGAGGAATGTGTATGCCCCTCCCTGTTTTGCTGTTCTCTTTTGCACACATTTGCACTGGCTCCAAGTTTTGGCTCTATTTGTTGACGCAGTCGACACTGCCTTGGGCCAGATGCTGGCCATGGGATTCAACAATGAGGGTGGCTGGCTGCGTCAGCTGCTCGAGGTCAAGCATGGAGACATTGGAGCAGTCCTCAAGTCGCTGCATCCTTCTCCCAAATGAGGCCGCTTGACCAGTGGTTGGAATAATTTTTTTTTGTCATGAGCACTGCTTTGGTAGTGTTCATGGTAAAGAAGAAGCTTATGTGCACACCTAAAGATAACACATATGGTAGCGTTAATTTCATGTGGCTCCAAAAGACCAGTTCATGATTTTGCTTTGACAATGTCTGCCTAGGCGAGCAATGTAAACAAAAATGACATCTAGTTTTCTTAACACACATTTTGTTGTGATCTCCCTTCACAAGGGCAGGTTGCGGGATTGCACCCCAGCTGCGGCGGGTGCATTTTCAATGTAGACGAAAATGCTGCAGGCCTGTGTGCTCAGATTTGGGTGCACGTTAAAGAGCCCCAGGTGGGCGAAATTTCTGGCACCCTCCACTCTCATAATCATGTGGTGGTTTTAGGACGTTAAACCCCACATATTAATCAACCTTCACAAGTCAACTACAACCAATTAACTATGCATGACTAAGTGTGCCAACATTTCTGAAGGCAAGCAGAACTTGTTTACAGATGTTTAAACAAGCCTTTGCTTCTAAGTCGGTGGTTGCAGCTGCACGTACTGTGGAAGCTCGATTATGCATGACCTGCATTTTACAACAGATGAGTTTGGTCCTGGCAAAACCCTTAAAAAAATTATGTACTAAAATACCTACAGTGCAATATTATACCAACTTCACCAGTTACAATGCTTTTTTTTTCTCCCTCAAGTCTAATTCGCCCCAAGGTTTTGCGAATTTAAAATAAAGATGCACCTGAATTTGATACTAGATTTTTAGCCAAAAACTGAAGGGCTCCCATATTGACAATTATACAAGATGGAGACATGCACAATTTGCTTCACAGAATTGAGAATTTGTTCACTTGACAATGCCTTTACTGCAGTGACCCAGTCTTTTATTGGTTTTTTAAAAGCAATGCAGCGGCTTTTTGGTGCTCCTTGCTTGTGTTCGCATTGAAGGGCCATTAAGGCCCTTTTCTTTCTAGATGTTCTCAGCAGGATTGTTTCTTCAAGAGCAAATTCGGGCCATAAAATTATTTACTCAAAATTGTGTAAATTTTCAAGCTTGTTTCATTCTATTGTTTAGTGTGTATCATTCCATATTGCTTATCTTGCTTGGACTTTCTGTGTGCAGTATTTTACAAATAATAAAATAAACATTAATTGGTACAAGTCTATGGGCTGCTGAACTTCTTTCTTAGAGCTACTTATGCTCAGAAGCCTCGAGCATGTAAAAACACCATCATGTGAGCATTATCATAAAAGCACCACATCACCAATTGCTCCTATGGACCTTTGCAGAAATTGGCCTGCACTCCCTGCAGTGGCTACAAAGCACTATGGGAAGCCGGAGTGTCGTGTGCTCGCTAAAGCGTTTGCTCACCTAGTTTCCCACAGCATGCAGGCGTACAAACGCATCGTTGCAGGAATGCCGCGCAGGTAATACCCTGCTTCAATCTGCACTCACAGAAAAGGCACAACCCAGAGCAACATGTCGGCAAACACTAGTATTTTTGACCTATTAATGACCTGGGAAAATGCTCACGTAGCCCTGCCGCGGTTGTCTAGTGGCTAAGATACTCGGCTACTGACCCGCAAGTCACGGGATCGAATCTCGGTTGCGGTGGCTGCATTTTCGATGGAGGCGAAAATACTGTAGGCCACTCTGCTCAGATTTGAGTGCACATTAAAAAAACCCCAGGTGGTCGAAGTTTGCAGAGTCCTCCACTACGGCGTCTCTCGTAATCATATGGTGGTTTTGGTATGTTAAACCTCGCATATCAATCAAATTAAAATGCTCACGTACCAGCAAAAAGGCCCATTGTATTGGAAACATTACTCTGCTTTTGCGGCGAGTACTCTGTGCTTCGTTGATTGTTTTTCCACGTAGTGGAAGCTTTTCTCGTTTGTTTTATTCTCGGCATGACCGTACAGCTTCATTATTAGTACTTTACGTCGGGCACTATCACTCGTGGTATGCTTCTGTGTGGTATGCAGTGCAAGACCTAGGCACTTCGCAAATGATAAGCAATGCAGGAATGGAAGTGCCTAAACGGCAGTTTGCACGTGCAACGCCAAATTTCGTCCAGAGTTTTATGATCAACCGAGCAACATGCGTGGGCTACTCATAACACGCAACCGCGTGCATATGAAACCTTGCATTTTGGATCCTGCATAAATCTTGTACCATGTGAACAGAATGCATGGTTCTTGTTAATGTGGCGTGTGTGTGTACACACCTCATTATGCGATTCTATATATGTTTTAACAGCCAAGTTTTAGGCAAGCTATAAAGGTGGCAGTGCTGTTGCAAAAAAACTCTCCGCACCATTGCCAAGCAACCGCCGAGCGTGCCGTGCTCGACGGTTGCTTTGCAATGATGCAGCGAGTTTTTTGCCATATCTACAGAAAAAAAAAACTACGTCTCCGGCATAGCACTGACTACAATAGCAACAGTTTCTAATGTTGTAGTGGTGGTGCCGCATGCGCTTCCTTATATTTTTGTTACCACACCATTACTCATGTAACGCTGCCTTGCGCAAGCTACGTCAGAATAACTGGGGACCATTTACATGATCTTGGAACCTTCCAATGAGATCACCCGCACAACGCATACATTAGTTTGTTCTGGAACTTATGCAACCACTAGCGATAACGCTGGAATCCTCGATGGTACATGTATAAATGTTGCCGCACTTTGCTGCGTGGAAGACTATCAACGGCCGAAGCTTTATGTTTGCTGCGATTAGTCTACAGCATGTATCGCTTGTAGAGGGATGTTTCGTTTCCCAGACACAGGTTAGCCCAAATAAAAAAATTCACTCGCGAAAACAACAGCTGCTTCGTTAACTTCACGACCCCAAAAATACGAAGGCTGACAGCTAACTCTTATGGATCAGACATTGCAACACTCACAACTACAAAACACTGGTGTAAGAGAATAAGTGTGTCCGCTCTAGGGAGAAATGCTCTTATTGCACAATCTCTGCCGATTGAGAGCCCACCACGTAGCACAGTTCGCGATCCGTTCGCTGATGCTTAGAGATATCGTGCGTGCCAGATATTGCAACCGCAACTGCAATATTGCAACCGCAATTTTACATGCAGGTCAAATGCACGATGCGCAGGGAATTGTATCTACAGTAGTTTACGTGTAACATGGCTGCGACGGCAAATACTTGTCGAGATGTGTAAAAGCACGATGCGCGGGGAATGGTATCAAGAGTAGTTTACGCGTAACTTGGCGGCGACGACATAAACCTGTCGAGATGCGTGGCAAGCGCATCTAAATTTCCTCGCGGTTCTCATGTTGGCTGTGGCACTTAATGACTGGAACATAAGTTGCATTTCTTTTTATAGAGCCCTATAGGTTTAGTGTGAAGAAAGCTTTTATTATAGTAGCTTATCTCTAGTATTGATTTGCTGTTTATGTTGGATGTGGTGTTTTAATCACATTTTGAACATTGCAACATTTTAACATTAATTTTTTCATTCGTTTGAGGTCTAGTAGCTGTCCAGAACGCCACTTATGTTTTTTCTTGTGAGTTGCTGCACTTTCACCTTTGATGTCTCAAGGTTTAATATATATGAATTTAGTGTAAGTCTGGTCGCTTGATCGACATTGCATGCTTAGTAAGAACTATTGAAATGTTTTGTGTTTATCAGATCTAATTAAAAGTGATGTGCGGCCCAAGAAATCTGCTCGAAAACTAAATTTCAATGCTCCAAAACACACCTTTTGCTGCTACAGAGCTGCTCCAAAACTCCTTTTTTACTGCTGAAAAGCCGTTCCAAAACCACATTATTCCTGCTCCCAAAGGTGATCCAAAGACTGAAACCTGCTTCCACCACCGTCAATGTCAAAATTCCTCCCTTATAAAACGGTTTGAGCCCCACTATGCTGTGTAAATTTGAATCACAATTGCCTGTTTCATTCGCTGCATCTGACAAACTTTGCTTTTTGAGATGCTGAGAGTAGTAAAAACCAGCTACCAGTACAGCACGTCTATAAAAAGGACATCAAGTGAGTGCTGTGAGGTGCGGAATAGCGCAGTGCCGAGCTACATGAAGCGAGAATACTCTGCGCATTTCACTTCGCATGCAGTGTTTGTTTTCAAACAGCGTAAAACATGCTGTCTTTGCGTAGTTCCTGTTTTCGCGACTGTGCGTTGGATATTAACCCAAAAGTTTTGGACCTAACTACTCAAAAGGTCATGACTAGTTGGCAATTGGAAGAAATATATAACGAAATGAGCGTTAGTGTGCATAATTTACACAATATTCTATTCTACTGTTCGAGCTCTCGTGATCTCTTGTAGATCCCACGAATCTGTAGCTCACGAAAGGAAAATAAGTCAAACAACTGCTACACTACTGAAATGAGCACGACTGCGTTGACGTCTGAACATGGGTGTAGGAAGGAGAGTGTTGTTTCAGTACAGTTTATGATCATGCAGGGATGCAGCATTTGTGCCTATTGCACCAATTTGATATCATTCCCGATTGTTTCACTGAGCTGCGCCAAAACCCTGAAATTTGCTGAAAATGCACCACGCTGTGCCAAAACGTCCAACCAGCCTCAAAATTTTCTCAGGCGCGCTAATTTCGGGGAGAAATGAAAGCCATGATGGCCATCTACAGTTTGTGCCATAGATCAAAGCGCGCAGACCCTAACTATAGCGCAGACCCTAACTAATATGACCAGCTGAAGTAACAATGTTGCGCACCCATCAGTTCGTTGACCGCAGTGGACGCCTATTGATGGGACGACAGAACTTCAAGACTTAAATGCTTTGCTGTAGCCACCAACACTTAGCGGGAAATGTAAACTTCCTAGCCTGAAAACGTGGCTATGGCTTGTTAGGAACTAAAGCTGGAAGCGTGTGTCACGTTTCTGCACGAACAAACTTTACATGCGTTGAATGCCGGCATTGCCAGTGATCACGTTGATTGCCTTAACAGTGGCACATAAAACTTTTTTGTCTTGGAATGAAAAGACAGGATTGTGACGTCGTCTCTGCCACGGTCCTGGCAATAGATATCCAATACTGCCGCCAGGCCAACAGGCATGCGTCGTTGTTACTTCACCTGGTCGATCGCGCTTTCCAAGCAAGTGGCATCTAACCTCCCCGTAAAAGAAAAAAAAGTGCTAAGTGGGGGGGGGCTCAAGGTGTAACGGTTCGAAAATTTGGCTTTGGTTCTAACCCGTGCAGGGAATGCTGCTTGAACCAATTTCACTGCAGTACACCGGTGTCCTGCCAAAAAGCATATCCGTGTGCTCAGATTTGGGTGCACGTTAAAGAACCCCAGGTAATCTAAATTTCCGGAGCCCTCCACTACGGCGTCTCTCATAATCATATAGTGGTTTTGGGACGTTAAACCCCACATATCAATCAATCAAAAAGCATATTGAGATTTGGAAGGGTCTGTTAGCGCTACTCACGGGACACTGCACATTTTGCTAGGTTACACGTGTGTTTGTATGTTGCATAATTCTGAGTGCCAGCATAATCATTGACGTATAAATAAGCTACTAGCAATCATTTGGAGCAGTGTATGACATTTCTGCTTCTCTAAAAAGACAAACTTGTGTGCCAGCCTTTTTATTCGCTTTGATCTTCGGTTTTATAAATCTACGAAATTTCAAGCTCACGAGCTTGGCCGATGCATATTTAAATTTGCAGAATCTGTCAAGTGTTTATATGTACTCCATCATTGTTTGCCTGGTGGTGCGAATGCAAGCTATCAGAAAAGGGGCTCATGGGCAGCCAATCGGGATTGGAGGAGCACTGTGAGCGTGATGTAAGGGGGAGGCAGGTTGTCCAGGCGTGTTCGGACATGCGTCTCCTTGCAAGGAGAATGAACACATAGCTTGCACTAGACTGAAAAGCCCGGCGCAGAAACCACGGTCGCCATGCTCCTAGCACTCGTGCAAGCTGGAGAACGAGGCGCCAAAGGGGAGGGCACGCTCGATTCCCACATTCTCCCTTCCTAAAGGCCGAGGCCAGCCTGTGAAAGAGGCTGTCTGAGGCCGAATAGCGAGGTCAGCACAACCACAAGGAGGCTGGCCAACAAGGCAAAGTCCAACAGGAATGTGTCGTTTCCACGAAAGCCAGGAGCAAAGGGTTGACATCGCTTCGGTTGACATGAGTCCAAGGTCGGCCAAGGTCACCCAAC